TACCCACTTTATAAAAACATTACATTCACGTTCTAAATTAAAATAAAGGAATTTTTTATTTGTAGGGGCGGTAGGGATAAATTAATAAGAAGACAACAGTGTTGTCAGAGTCATCAAATTGTTTTCTTAATGAGTAAGCACTTCTTGTAAATTCTCACCTTATCATCATTAATAATTTAGCAGCCAAGGATTCAACTCCCACTGGTTTCACATTGCCGGAACCCACTGAAGAGGGTTTGCGATAGATGAAAGACATAAATTGCTGAGCTATGGAATTGTGGCCAGTCTTTCAAACCACTTCGGCTAGAGTTTGAAAACTGTACACGGAAGAGCCCAGTGATTCATAGAAAATGATTTTGAGGTGTTCCATTGATCGAGGGGGTGCCCCCCCCACTCATGCCTATCCTCAGCGAGCCCTTGCGAAGCCCGTAGGCAAGGTGTGAACTGCACTCTCATCAGGAAAGTGTGCCGTACAGACGCACTGTACCAGACAGGAATGATTCACTGACCACCCACACTGACACAGGCAGGCCAGCACCAGGCCGGAGAGCGTGGAAGAGGGTCCGGTCAGTCCCAGAGGGACAGGCACCATCAACAGATATGACCACAGTTACACCTCTGCACCCGTGTGTCAGCCCAGCACCAGACAAAGATGAGCCCGGCGTCTGCCAGAACTCCTCGTCGAATCAGTGAGGAAAGAAACGCTAATTATACGCGGTAATTGAGACCAACACCCTTCCTTATCTGACGCAACTTAGAGAGCGTGTGCATTTTCCTAACCGACTCGTTTTCGTTGTCTCTTTGATACAATTAGTGCAAATGCGTAGTTTGAGCGCAGAGCTGCGTCAGCGTGTCTTGGCTGCGAAGGAACAAGCAAAGGTTAATTCCCCTCTGAAGAGTGGAATGAAGAAACGAAGCTCTTCGGCTGTGGAGACGTCTTCAGGTGTGCAGCTTGCCATGAGCACCATCAATCTTTTCCACTCGCTCCGCATTACTGACTAATGTTATTCACAGCCGTATCCAAAACATCACAGGGTGTGTGAGTGTGTGAGTGTGTGTGTCTGTGTGTGTCCTGTGATGGACTGCTGTCCTGTCCAGGGTGATCCTGTTTTGCGCACTCTGCTTCTTGAGTTCAGCTCCAGTTCCCCCTGCGATCCACTATTGGCAAAGTGAATTAGAAAATGGATGGATGGATTTTTGCTTTTTCATTGCTTCCCCACATTGTCTAAACTACAGTATATAAATGCTGTGGCAGCAACAACGCCCATGTCGTTTCCATAGGCAGCTGCTTCAGGCTCAGCGTTTCCAAACATTACATTTAGAGCTTCTGTTGGGCTTTACTACATGTGACATTCTGCCCAGTGATCTAAATCTTTCTTATTTTTCCTTACAGTTTCTGCAGCATTTTCTAATCTGCCCATTTTGGTAACATTTGAAAACTAGACTAGTCTACTAACCATACCTGAATATAAATAACTGATAAAAATATGAAGGGAAGTGGGCCTAATACAGAACCCTGTGGTACTCCACTATTACATCTCTATAATCAGTATTAATTTCCTGCACATTCATTCAAGTGTATGCATTACCTTAAATGCCTACATCCTGCAAATTAAACACTGTTGACAATTTTGTGAGGGCTAAAGCATAACCTCTTCTTGTATGCATTGTTGATGTTGCTTGTTTAAAGAACTCTGATTTAGCAAAGGTCTTTCAATTACAGTAGGTTTGTTGTATAACTTCCCAAATTGGAGTTACCAACTGTGTCTTGATGCAGAAGACCCTTATATAACTATGATTTTGTACAAAACCCTTTGTTAATCTTTGCCATCACTGAAACGCTCAAAGAGCGCATTAAACAGCTGCTAAGGTGGTGTCATAGCAATAACCTCGACTTGAATGTAAATAAAACGAAAGAGCTAATAGTGGACTTTCGGAGACACAGGCCACACACTCACAGCCCACTCAGTATTGATGGAACAGACGTGGAAACAGTCACAAGCTTTAGGTTTTTGGGAATTCACATCTCTAAAGATCTAACCTGGACTGTGAACACTGACTCTATCATGAAGAAGGCTCAGCAGCGCCTTTATTTCCTGAGGTGCCTCAAGCGATGGGGGATGCCAATACATGTGTTGGTGAACTTCTACCACTGCACCATCGACCACTGCCATGGTCGAATTCTGGCCATCACAGAGGACAGTCACCACCCCGGGCATGAGCTCTTCACCCCACTGCCCTCAGGCAAGAGATACAAGAGCATACGGACACTTACCACTAGAGTCTTCAATAGCTGCTATACACAAGCAGTGCGATTGGTGAACACATTTAGCCATGCCCCTCGGACCACACCAACACCATCTACCTCATTATGACTTCATATTTATTACACATCTCCAGTCATTGTTTACACGTGTACATTTTTTACATTCCAACTGTTTATTTGTTTACTTGTACATTGTCTACTGTTTGTATATTGTCTTGATGCACTGTCTGCACTTTGTGTTTTACACTTGTTTTAACAATCGAAAGACTTTCTGTAAGTAAGAATTCCATTGTACCAGTACATGTACTGGTTACATACAGTATGGCAATAAAGTTCGAGTTCAAGTTCAAGTTCAAAAGCAAGACTGACTTCCAAATAGCAGAAAGCGAGTCTACCACTAGGGGGAAGCCAAGAGTCAAATATAATACACTGTAGCACGTGTGTGAAAGCGGGACATCTGCTGGTTGGACTGAAAACCTCTCAAAATCGCAATCCATCACCCCGTCTACCAGTCGATCCATCTACCGATATGATTGGAAACGCAGTCAGGTTCATCTGTAGGTGTTTCTTTTATGTACCAAATTGAAAGCAAACTTCAGAAAACACACAACAAAAACTTATTCAAGCACTGATTTCTATATTTTAAACATACCACTTGTATCCAGCAGGGACGTCAAGACTGGACATTGAAAGAAAACCACTCTGCCCCAGAGCTGACACAGGCATCCTGCTAAGCCAGGGTTGTTGTGAGTGCAGGCTGAAGGAAGAGCTGGAGATCTCCCACAGGACACACCACTGTCTCACCTGCACGTCCTTTGAGCTAACGGAAGTCTCCCTCTTTGCCTTACAACGTGTTTCCTCATTTATATTTGTGAATTCAAGTGTTGAGGCGTAAATATCAGTCCTGGACGTCACGTGGACTTTTGTCCTCTGTGGCTTTATGGAAAACGCAGGAACGTGCAGCAGGCCGTCATGCTGATCGTCCTCATCCCTCAGCTGGAACTAGAACAGTCCAGGCAAGGTGCCCTGGTCAGCTACAATAGAGGTGTCTCATCTAGAATTCAAACCCACGACCTCCCAGCTACAAGTCCAGAACCCCGACCACTGCTCCACATATCCAGCTGCTCCTGTCCTTCATGCTTTCATCTGTGCTGTGTTGTAAAGCTCCTCCTTGTCTGATGCTGCTGGTGACGTGCGTGTCCAGAGAAGCAGTGCCTGTCCCCCTTTAACTTGTTGCTGTGTCTGCTGCTGTTCTGTGTTTATGTTTTTGGTGATTCCTTTCATGTCTTTGTATCGGAGAACACATGCAAACAAGCGTTTCATTGCACTTGTGCATATGACACTGAACAGAAGTGAACACAGCTCTTCTCTCCTGTCAGTAGTGATGGTTAGTGTGCAATGTGCTCTTCTGAAGCCTGTCCTCTCACGCCAGGGTCTCTTAGACAGCGCGCTGGTTTCACCCACTAAGTGTGTGGCGCCGTTTCTCAAGCATCGAAACACACAGTGTTTTCCTAATGAAATGAGGTATAATATGTTAAATTAGACAGGAAAATAACATCTGGTTCATGATAACAGTTGTATAACAGACTCCATAAGGAACAAGAAAGGTTATAAAGGCTCATGCAGCTCAATTCATTTTTCAGGGTTACACGTCTGAGGACTTTGTCCTGCAGTTCTTTAAAGTCATATTTTTGGCTTCAACAACATGGCTGGGAATGTCTTCTAGATTCACACAACCCTTGATGTTCAGGAGTGCCTGCTGTTCACAGGTTTCAATGCACATCTACATAGTGTTTCAGTGCCTGTTCTTATTCTGAAGATGTCTGTTGGGGTGACTTGATCTGTCTTTGACATTCGATGGCTTGAATCAAGTGTCTTTGTTCAAAACTGTAACAGACAAACTTCAGTTCTTTAAGTCAGTTTAGGACATTTATTTTAACCCAGGAACATGTCTGGTTGCTTTTCTCTGAATTGATTCCAGAACAGAAATATTTTTTAAGTTTTTCTCTTTAAGGAGTTATAATGTCAAGTCTCAGTGTTATAACACGTAACGTTACCTCTTATAGTTTAAGTTTCTCCTTCCTGCATGTTACAGTCTGCACTTGTCTCCCTTAAATGTCACCTTAAATGTCTGTCATGTGTTTGCCCAGACCTGAAGTTGGTATGAAGTTGGTCTCAAGAAGTAGTATCGGTATTAACCCTGTCTCGAGAATGGGTATTAACCCTGTCTCAAGAATCAGCATTAACTGTGTCCCAAGAATTGGTATTAGCCCTGTCCCAAGAAGCTACTGAAAGAGGCTTGTGAATAGCACCACTCATTTCCTTTAAGTACAATTTCTAGAATACCATCAGGCCCTGTGAGATATGTTAGGCGCTTCTGGTACTTGTTACACTTCTGTGCTGTCTGTGGTAATTAATATTTAATATAGAACTTCATCTTTTCTCCGTCTGAGACATGCTGTCTGTCCCTTCCTGAGTGAGCACCTGAATGAAAGTGAAATATTATTTTGAAACATCAGTCATTTCACTGTCTAACTGGGATTGAATGAACTTATTTTGGTGACACAAGCTTTAGTCAGGGATAAGCATGGATTTGCCACCAGGTGTACCAAGCCTGGGTGTCTATTTACTTGTCAGTAGTCTCTGCAGCTGGCCTTTCCAAACTGATGGTCCCTCCTTGGCTGATAGAGAGTAAGGGCTTGATTTTCTCTGCCTCGGTCCTGAGAGACAGGAAAAGAACAAGAATGTTTCCACGCTTCCTTTGAGTTATCATTAGAAAAGCTTGCGAACAATAGCTGCAGAGCCTATTAAGAGTTCATTAAGGAATAAATCCAGAAGCTATGCAGAATGAGACACAGAGGCACATAATATTTCCTCTGCTGGGTGAAGATGTGGAACACTGTTGTCTGAGTGGGTGAACGAGATGGCACCCTCTCCTATGTGTAATTGTTATTTTGTGGGAATGGGCTGTTATCTCCTCACTCATTGCCACAGGCAGTGTTCAATATTTAATAGCAGGTTGTATGAAGCACTTTGACTCCGGCTCTGTGCACACAGGGTGTTATCTGCCTTGATGAAAGGCTTTCTCAGGCCCACAGAGAGGGCGTGCCGCACTATGAATCAGCTACAACATCCTCTATAAACTGTGTTCTGTCTATCTGGGCTAACATGCTAAGCTGCAAAAAAGGCTTTGAACAAAAGAAACCAGCATTTTCCATGATAACGTGGGACCTTGTTTATTTGCGTTCAGAAGTCTTCAAGTATAGCGGATGGTAAATGCAAGTCCCCTTTAGCTGAGAGTTAATGGGCTGAAGCACATCGAGAGGCATTAAAAATGCAATAAATGCTCCAATATTCATCTGTTGCATTTCCACAGGCCCCAGGATCTGTGGGTGAAGATTTCTGTGCCATCAGTGAGACAACCACTGGCAGGCTTCTGCCGTAATACTGAAACACAAAAGCACAGAACCAACTCACAAACAGGACATAACAACAACATCAGGGAACCGCAGATGTAGAAAAGATCAACCAAGATTATAATGTGAATATTGGCACAGATGTATCTCGGTAAGGGGATTGTTAAAAACTCTTATAGTATTTGTAGGCTGACCTAGTTGAGCTGGCTGTTCTCACAGTGCTGATGTAAGTTAGTGCTGGCAATTTGAGAATCATTAACAGGAATCACATCAGTAAAAAATAGTGATTAATTGATTCATTTTGATGATGAAAATAATAATTACCGTAACATTGTTTTTTTATTGCTTGCTATTGGAATTTTTGCAGAAGCCTGAACTGTTTCAGCATGACTGTGCCCTTGCTGTCCAGACTTGTCAAAGGCATTTCTGTTTTGCTTTAAGACTTGATAAGAATCGACGCATTTCCATTGCAAGTAGGGCTTGTGTGTATCTGCTGTGAAGGCTGCACAACTATTGCAACACCCATGAAGTCTCTTGTGCTTCCCTTGGCATTTTCTTGCACGATAAAGTCTGCACTTTTCTTTTCCATTCTTTTTGACAGCTCACCCGTGACACAAGGAGATTCAGAGTGCCTCACCAGTTCAAAGATTCTGGGTTTTTAAATGAATGAGAAAATGAAAATTTTAGAATAATAATTCAAATTGCCCCACAAGTGCAGAACAATGCTAATACAGGTAATCAGGAGTGGGAAAGCCTTAATCTCCCACAAGCCTTTGGCATGTGGAGACAAATGATAGGTTTAATTAAAGTCATTTTCTGCTATCTGAAAAGAATACATTTATTGCAGCCTGGTATATATATTCATATAGTGACTCAGTATTATCACCAGTTTCCAGTGGGAAGATTTTCACTGAGGAAATGATATGCTCCATCTGCAATGAACTGTTACATATGCATTTGTACACTTTCAGACACACAAATGCATAAAGATGTATATGCCTAAGGGTCAAATTTAATTTAACTGCCCATGTTTGAAGTTGGGAGTAAAGATTTATTTTAATGAAGTTATAAAAATTCATATCTTCTAAAGCAGGCGATATGAATGCACAGTGGTTATCAGTGCTTCCTCTCAGCACCAGGCCCTGGACTCAACTCTAGAACTGGAGTGCTATCCGTGTGGAGTTTGTATGTTATCCCTGTGTTCTGCCACAGTCAGATATACTGGTAGATTAACTGGCTTCTGGGAAAATTGGCCCTGGTGTGAGTTTGTGTGTCTGTCTGCCCAGGATGGACTGCTGTCCTGTCCAGGGTGTGCGAGTGTGTGTGTGTCTGTGTGTGCCCTGTGATGGAC